CTTCCATACAGATATATGGTGTTGTTGTGTTATTTTGTTTAAATCTTGTAGTGATGGATGAGGTGGTGGATTACTTATGTCCAAAAACAAGATTTACATATACAGTAGAACCTCCATGAGAGGACACTCACATTAGAGGACACCTCTCTATAAAAGACAGTTTTCATTTTCAAAATCGCCATGTTTAATATTTAGCAACTCTCCAGTAAAAGGACACCTCTCCCTAAAGGACACTTTAGCTCTGCAATTGGTATCCTTTACAGAGAGGTTCTACTGTATATATGCGGGGATGGATGATGGTGGTGGGCACATTCTTGGTCGGGTGAAAAGGGTTCCACAGGGGAAGAACAACACAACTGGATGGGTTTGAATAGGACCTGCGAGGGAGGGAAGAGAGTTCGGCGGAGGCAGCTGGCCTCTCACATCTATGGAGCGTACACTGCCTTGGTTGGAGCCTATGTTGAGCATACCAAGCTCGTTGCACGGTCACCTACGTTCTGTCTTTTTCTTGTCCGAGATAATTGTCATCAACTATCTCGGACTTCTCATTGGCTGAGATCCTCATACGAGCGCTCTGGTGATTCGTTACTAGTTTTTCCTCTTTAAAGGTGATGGCTCTGAACCTCCATTGCCGCCATGATTGCAATCTTCCAGGAAGTAGAAGGCCTTTGAACTTAAGTTTTATGGGTCCAGGGCAGTGACTTTTACTTCTTGGATGATGCAATCCTGTTTCTTTGTTTCTTTCCATCTCGCGAGGCCTAAAGTTTATTAAACCTTTAGATGATACATGGTATATAGATTGTGGTACATAATCCTATATACAGATTATCACATATATATATAACATATGGGAGGATGATATTCATGTACCATAAGTGGAACCTCACTCTTTAATTATGCATCAGGACAAAGCATTTGTTCATCACCACTGATGAGCCAGGCCCTCCCTTTAATTTTTCCATTGCAGTAAGGACAGTAGAAATTGTTTTATTTTAAAAAGAATATTACGCGTCTAAAATAGTTTCGTATTTTGATAACAGATGGTGCGTTAATGCATCGTAATATATTGTAATATTAAAAACAAAAAAGACATTTCCTGACCACTCAACATGAGCATTTTAGATAGCAGAGCGCCATCTAGTGGAACAAATATCAACTAAACCTTGATTTAGCTTGTTCCATGATATTTGGCTAACCCATTTTCTTGAAAATCAAGAAAAGTCAACCACTAACCTGATCTTTTTTGATATTTTTATTATTTTTTCACATATTAAAATACAGTAGAACCTCCATGAGAGGACACTTACGTTAGAAGACACCTCTATATAAGGTTAGTTTTCATTTACAAAATTACCATTTTTAATATTTAGTAACTCTCCCGTTAGAGGACACCTCCCCCTAAAGGACACTTTGGCTCTGTAATTAGGTGTCCTTTACAGGGAGGTTCTACTGTATATCATATTTTTTTATGAAAAATAAAATTGAAAAAATAAAGGCATACTTTCAAGGTCATTTCTTTTTTCCTAGTTGACGCATTTTATATGATGTAAAAATGTATAGAAAAAAAATTATGTTGAAAAATATAATAACACTAAAAAACACACAAAATGATAAGGAGATAAGAAGGCAGGTGCCTTGATATCATTGCACCTGATAAATGCTTCAACCAGGGCCCAATCTGAATCCTTTGATAGAAGGGGAATGGAGGTGTGATAAACAAGGCAGCTATTGCCCCTCAAATTTATTTTTATTAATACAGTAGAACTTGGATAATTCGAACTTCTTTAATTCGAAAACCTCTTTAATTCGAATATTTATCTTGGTCCCCAGAATTTCCTATAATTATAATTTCCGTTTTTAATTCGAATTTTTGGATAATTCGAATTTTTTTATGGTCCCTTGGGGTTCGAATTATCCAAGTTCGACTGTAATATCGTTCAAGAAATTTCTAAATAATAAGGTACACTTTAGATTTTGGATTTGAAATACAAGCTAATAAAACCAAATCCAAATAGTGTATAATAATTTGGTAACTGTTGTTACTATCCTCAGGCAAAAGATCAAATGTTACCAAAACATCATACACTATTTATTTAGATTTGATCTTAATAGATAAATTTATTAAAAAGAAATTTAAATTAGAAGAATTTTATTAAAAAAAGTAAAGTTAGAAGTATTTCTGTTCAAATAGAAATAAAAATTGCTATAATTCATAGATTTTAAAAAATTAGTAATATACCTATTTATTTTATTTAATTATGACAATTGACAATTTTTATAACTCATTAAATACAGAAACATATTGCTAACCTTATTTTATTTAAGTTTTATTTGTTTATTGACACATTTCCCTCTCTTCAAACGTTTGATGAATTAAAAAATTCCATCTGATTGGTTGATAAAGCATTTGACAGTTATAATTACATTACAGCAATACTTCTGATTTTTGAAACATTTTTAATAGCTGTTGTCTATGTATAAAGCAAATTTTCAATTTGATACATTTTTTTGAACATTAAAAAAAAAAAATTAAATTGAACTTTTTAATATATTATATAGTAATATACAAGGTTTTAAAAGATAAACAATTTAAAGTTGTTTATGGAAACAATTAGGTCTCTGGTGATGTCCTATATAGAATCTATATATATAATTGAATATGCTATAATTAAATAATATTATATTATAATATCCCCTAATTTATATTTCATACTTGTTACATCGATGAGATTGGTTGTTTTTGACCCAGTTTCCCTCTTATAATTTTTAAATGCATTTAATAAAATAATATCACTTCGATATATTTTGACATTTAACTGCAGATCATATATTATGTTAGCATTTAAATTAATATGAGGTCACTTGAAGGACAAAAATACGTTGAGATAACAAAGTCCAATTTAGTTTCTATTGCAAATTACATTCTAAAAGTGAATTGTACATACCTATATTTTGAAAACCGGTCGGGATCTTTTTGAAACATTTCACAAATATTAATCTTATCTTTGTTTTCGTTATAATAGGCTTGAAGCTTTTTATAAGCTTCATTTTCCTTCAGAGGAGAAGTTTGTTGAAAGGCCATTTTGATTTTTATAGAGGCAGAAATAAGATGGCTATCGAAATATCAGCTGTATTTTTAAAAATTAAATGCCAGAGGACATTTAATGTGGAGAATCCGGGTAGTGATAAACACAGGGGTGTCGAATATTTTACGTCAAAATTTGAATTTAAAAGAAAAATTAAAGAATAATTGTCAAATATTTTAAATTTGTTTTGTATAATAATTTGGTAGATAGAGTTTCATTATAAAATATTAATAATATATCCAACATTTTTTATGGCTTAGAATTTGTTTTAAATAAGTTGGGATGTGTGCAAAATATCATTTCAATTCTATTTCATTTCAAAATTTTGATTTTTGTTCGTCATCAGTTCAATTTTTGCAAAAAAAAAAAAAAAACTGTAGCTCTTAAAAAATAATATATACATTTTGATTTCTTAAAGATTTCAGAGATTTAAGATTAAAGATTTCAGAGATTTAAGATTAAAGATTTGAGATTTCAAAGACAGGTGTTTATTATTGATGCTTTATTTTATTTTATTTTTTATTTTTGTGATAGAGCTGAACCACTCTCTCACAATATTTTCCCATGCAATTTAGTAGGCTTTAGAGACATTTCTGAGTCGATAAATATATATAAGGATATTCAGAGAGAGAGATCCAAAGACTGGTGTGTGCTTTTTTTATGAAGCTCCTCCTGAGAGATTGATTATAGTTGGTCCCGAAAGTGGCGCGAGTGAGCCTTTTGATCTGATATCCTCAATTAGTCTTTAAATCAGATTTTTGGTAGCCTTATCATGCTTTAGAATTTTTCTTACATAAAACATATGTCCAAAAATGTGATCTTCAGTTGAGGAGAGTTGTAGATTGGAATGAAACCTAAAATGCTTTTAGCCAAATATAACTAGAACTAGACGAATGGCCCGGGCAACGCCCGGGTTTTACTCGAGTGCGTATATATTTTAAAAACGTTTCAATTCAAATACTATTCGTTACAATTATAAATTGGCGCCATGGATGTCACTCTTCTGATGAAGTCTTATGCGAATTTGACGGTCGTTTTCCCTTCTTGCTGCTGTTTCTAGTTCCGATTCATTTTCTCGTTGTCGCCGATGAGATTCCGCATCTTGATTCAGTCGGGATAGCCGTTGCTCTACATTTTCATTAAGGCGCACATTATTTCGAGAATTGAGCTGCCGGGTAGCATTGTCCTTCTTTCGTTTTACTTGGACTTCCAAACTTTCGTCTAACCTTCTTTTACGTTGAGATGCTGCAATTTTTTGGAGCCTTTTTGCTCTAGCAGAAATATCCCCATTTTGAGCAGATGCAGCCTCTTTCTGCTTTAAATTTTCATATCTTAGCATATCTTGCTCTGCTTTTGCTTGCTTCCTTTCTTCTTCTGTTTTGTATTTTTCCGATTCATTTTCTCGTTGTCGCGGATGAGATTCCGCATCTTGATTCAGTCGGGATAGCCGTTGCTCTACATTTTCATTAAGGCGCACATTATTTCGAGAATTGAGCCGCCGGGTAGCATTGTCCTTCTTTCGTTTTACTTGGACTTCCAAACTTTCGTCTAACCTTCTTTTACGTTGAGATGCTGCAATTTTTTGGAGCCTTTTTGCTCTAGCAGAAATATCCCCATTTTGAGCAGATGCAGCCTCTTTCTGCTTTAATTTTTCATATCTTAGCTTATCTTGCTCTGCTTTTGCTTGCTTCCTTTCTTCTTCTGTTTTTTTTTTTTTTTGGTCCCATGATGCAGATCTGCGCTGAAATATTTTGTTTTTATACAACTTTATACAAATTTATTTTTATTCAAATATTAGTGCTTTATAATGGCTATCTCCTTGATGTTACCAATTTAAAAGTTTATTTTCTAATTTTTGATTGTATAAGAAACATATTTTTATTTAAGTATTGTACTTTATGAACGGAAAAATATGTCCAGGGTAGCCTAGTGGTCATGGCATCTGCCCAGTAAGCGGAAGTCCGTGGGTTCGATTCCCATCCCTTGACACTTTTTTTTATTTTATACATTCTGACCAAAATCTATCCGTGAACTTCACACAGACAGAATAAGGCAATTATATAAGTAGATAATAAATAATTATCATTAGATAATGATAATGATCATAATGATGATGCGCGCGTTGATGACCAAAATCTATCCGTGAACTTCACACAGACAGAATAAGGCAATTATATAAGTAGATAAATAAATAATTATCATTAGATAATGATAATGATCATAATGATGATGCGCGCGTTGATGACCAAAATCTATCCGTGAACTTTACACAGTGAACATCACACAGACAGAATAAGGCAATTATATAAGTAGATTACAGATTGCCTTAAACCAAAGCTTTTTTTTTAATGATGGAATCCATATCATTCCCAAATTACAGTAAAATGTGATGTATCTAGCAATGATAATTATTTTTAATAAATGTCTAAAATAATTTTGTTTTAATTTCATTAGATTTTCTAACAGGGAAAAAAAACGCTGAGTCATACTTGCGCACCCAATAATACGTTTGATGTATATTAAATATATAATTATCAATATAATTGAAAATGTTTAATATTTTGCCCTGAAATTTTCAACAATGGGCTGTACTTGTTTATACAAGTAGTTTCTTGTTATTGCATTCAAATATGATTTCATCCACTTTGGATAAAAAGTGGCTTGAAGATGACATATCAGAGAGGACCCTTTAGATTGTCCCTTTGGCAAATAGAAACACAGAATGCTTCAAAACTGATCAAGGAACTAGATGCTCAGTAATAGAAAAGAGAAAGCTTACAACGAAGAAATATAACTGAAGAGAGAGACTCTTCTGAATGATAAGATAGCTTTATTTTTGTACAGATGCCATAGATGGTAGAGGCAGTAGATGCATGTAAGCCTCAGAAATTATTGAGAGCATAATTAGAATCAAAATCCCACTTATAAAAGCTATTTGAAACCAATGTCAAAAATCTTGCTTGTAAACAACATATATTTTTTGAAGCCCAGTTTCTGAATATATATTTTTAAGGATAAAGGGCGACGCAGGAATTCATGGAATATGTGAAGTTTGTGTCCTGATATAGTTTAACCAAGCAATGGTAGCCGTGATGTCGTACTGATCGATTCTTTGGGCGTTTATAAAGTGTGGTTTCTAAAATCAACGGTAAAATCTTGCAGCCATTGTGGTGCCCTGATAAATTCCTTTAGGTTTTTCAACGTGTGTGCAGCCACTAAAACCACTGTTCAGAATTCGCAGCGCGTTGTCACTGTTATCAATTCCATTATTCTTCGAGCGTGAGAATTCTAACACCAGTGACTAGATCTTTCAGCGTGATGGCACCCTAAACAATTCTTTGAGACTTTGCATCGTGCCGCCGCTAAGGGCGTTTTTTTTTTTAAATCTTGCGGCGTATTGTCGTTTTAATCAATTCTTTGATTCTCGCATATTGTGGCCTCAAAACTAAAAAGGAACAGATCTTGCAGCTGCGGTGCATCCTGATATATTTCTTGACTTTTGCAACGCGTGGTCGATAACACCCGCAACTAGATCTATCCGTGATGCCATGTTGATAGATTCGTTGAGCCTTCATAAAGTGTGGCTTCTAAATCAGTACCAAGATCTCGCAGCTATTGTAGTGCCCTGATCAATTCCTTTTGTCTTATGAACGCGCGGCTTCTAAAACCAGCAGCCATATCTTGCAGCCGTGGTGCCGCCCAGAAAACCTTTTTGAGACTTGGCAAAGTGCGGTTACTAAAACCAGGGTCCAGATTTTGCAGTACGCTGTTGATGTAATTAATTCTTTGATTCGTTGCAACGAGAGGCCTCTAGAATCAGTGTTCAGATCATGGAACACGTTGATGCTGTGATCAATTTCTTGATACTTCTCAATTTGAGCATCTTAAATCAGCGTTCAGATCTTCCAGAGTGCAGCCGCCCTGACCAATTATTTGAAACTCGAATCGCGCGGCTTCTAAAACCATTGTTCAGAACTTGCAGCGCATTGCGTTGTTATATATTCCTCAACTTTTGCAACACGTGATCACTTAAACCAGCAACCACAATTTAGAGGTGCGCTGCCGTACTAATCGATTCTTTGAGCCTTCTAAAAATGTTGCTTCTGAAATCATTGGCAAGATTTTGCATTCATTGTTGTGCCCTGATCAATTCCTTTAGCACTACAAATACGCGGCCTCTAAAATCAGCTGCCAGATCTCGCAGCAGTGGTGCCGCCCCGAACAATTCATTGATTCTTCAAAACGTGAAGCCTCTAAAACCTATGTCCATATCTTGCAGTGTGCTGCCGCCGTGATCAATTCCTTGATTCTCCGCAACGTGAGGCCTTTAAAACCTTTGTTCATATCTTGCAGTGTGTTGCCGCTGTAATCAATCGATGATGTATGCAGGTCTTGCAGCGTTTTGCCGTCGTGAGTATTTCTTTAATTCTTCCCAACGTGCGGCCTCAAAAACCAACGTCCAGATTGTGCAGCGCGTCGCCGCGCTGACCAATTCTTTGAGACTCGAATGGCGCGGCTGTTAGAACCTGAGTCCAGATCTTATAGCGTGTTTCCTCCGTGATCAATTACTTGATTCTTCGCAAGGTGATGCTTCTAAAACCAGTGTCCCATTCTTGAAGCGCGTTGCCGTCGCGATTAATTTATTGATTCTTCGCAACGGACAGCTACTAAAACCAGCGTACATATCTTTCGGAGTGTTGCAGCTGTGGTTGATTCCTTGATTCTTACTAACGCGCGGCCACTAAAACCAGAATCCAGACTTTTCAGCGCATTTCCGCCGTGATCAATTACTTGATACTTCGCAATGTGAAGCCGCTGAAATCAGAGGCTAGATCATGCAGCCGTGGGTGGCATTATTATCAATTCCTTTAACTTTGCAACAGACATCTTCGGCTTTGCAAACTTATCCTGGATGGAATTCAAACTTTCTTTCTTATTTTATAAACATACAAACTCTCTCTAAAATCGTATTTTATAAAACTAATTAACTGTCTAGTAACTATTTGATTAAGATTTCTTTGATTCGATTATGTTAAACTATAAATATGTTGTTGTTAGGTTAGCTCTAACAATCAACCTTTTAAAAACTCTTTTTCTTTTACACATAGATAATATCCTGACCCCTAAATATATAAAATCCAATTTACTATCAGCTATCCCCCATAGAAGAAAGAACTTGAGCCCAAAGATATTAAAATAGATCTACAAGAAACTTAATTCTGAATGATTTTAGTTCCAATTGAATTTTAAAATGAGAAGAAAGAACACTTCGATGAAGTTTCATTTCATTTGGTAGATTCCCATAAGGTACATTGATTAGAATACAACAGCTGAAGAAAAGAGAAACTGAAATGAAGCGAAGTAATTCTAAAATGTAAAATGAAGTCTTTATTTCTTTAGACACGAAGAGTATACAAAACAATGGATTTCCAAAAACGTTTATTTAGATGACCGGTAGAGAAGTGGAAAAGTCTCTGCCGAGTCTCCAATACACCTATTGCTGATATAACGTTCGCTAATTTGAATAACGATAATTCTGACATGCTCTCAGTTCTTGTCAAGGATTGCTTAAATGTTTCTATAGCAGCCGATTCTCTCCCACATGTATGCTTAACTCAATTATCTGAGGCATTAAGAAAACCAAACATATATTGTATGAAAAAAAGAGCGAAAAGTAAAATGATACTGGGATTATGTTGATAAATAAAGAAAAATATATTTAGCCTTTTATTCTGGAATAATTAAAAATCAACGATTAGTTGATATTTATTCAGACAGATGGCGCAAGCCAATGAGATATACATAAGTACGTATATTGGTTTCTTTTTATAGAATAAAAGAGCTTTCTAAAGTTTTTTTTCTGCTATGTAAAAATTATTGGGAGGTCTTGGCTCATTAATAGTGTACTCTCCCGCTAGGTCTTTCCAATAATTTTTGCATCGCAGAGAATGGACAGAGGAAAATTGTTTTATATAGGTAAGAAGAATATTCTCATTAAAATAATTTCAAATTCATAGAATTATTGGATTTTCGGTAGAGGAAAAAGGTTCTACTAAACATTCTAACTTCTGCTAGAATTTTTTTTTGTTTGATTCACTTCAACGAAAAGGCATTGTACAGAAGAAAATACCACCCCAATAACTAAAATAGCAATGGATTTATCCATTCAAAATAACCAAGCTAAAATAGAAGACACTAAATTATTTTCCACTATGCAGGTCATTTATGACAGAAAGCTATTTACTTAGCAACGTTCCTTCCCCAGTAAAGGCTATAGTGTACAACATAGAATCTGTTTTTCTAGGAAAGCCACTTTGAAGAAAGAACAATTTATAATACGCCATATTTAAAAAGATAAAATTGAAAAGAAATTGAGTTATCTCACTACCTCTCTGACTGACAGAGTGTTAGTGAAGAAAGAATGATGTCATTTTCAAAAGTTAATGACAGATAACTTACGTCAATGCAAATGATATTAACTAGCGCCATATCAAGTTGATTGTTTGGTTCATAGACGATATAATTTCTATAACAGAGCAACAAGAACTTCTGTGAGTGTATGCTATTCTTATTTTCTCTCTTACTCTCTCTGTAAAAACACGATGCATATAGCCTCTTTGTATGGATACCACCCCCGCATTATATTGTTTTGCTGCTAGGAGCTACGCACTTCTCTTACAGGAATATGTGTATAAAATATTATAAAATATAATAACTATTATATATGTATATAATTTTATATTTGAATAATTAAAGCTCTCTCTAGATGTTTATCAAATAACTTAATCTGCACATTCGGATTTCTTCTCCATCTCCTTTTCTACTTCCTTCTCTGTGGTTCTCTGGAATATCTTCTGTATATAAGATTGAATGTATTAATTAAGTTTGTATTTAGATTAATTGGAATATTTCTATATGTGTGATTTTATAGAGAGACAATGATCTGAGACTGAATACATTGGTTATGAGAAACAACTTTCTGAATAATC